ATACCAGGGCTTGAAAGCAACAGTTAGGTCAAATCTATAGACTTGATAGAGAAGGGATTTCTCTCTATTGTTTGAGTACTATGAAGGGATGCTGTTGGGATTGTAGAATATATTTTTCTAGTGTAGTTTGACATTTTAAAAATTGTGTTAAAGGGGAGGCATTTATCACTGGAGTAGTAATCTAGAGCTCCAGACCAGTGATCTCAGGGCATGGGTTCAAATCTCAACATGGCAGATGGTGAAATTTGAATTCAAGAATCTAGATTAAAGAGCTGGTTTAAAAGGTTACTACGTAACCATCATCAACTATCATAAAAATCCATCTGGTTCACTAGTGTTCTTTGAGTCTGTCTGCTGACACTAACCACCCATTAATAAATTCCAACTGTGCATTCTTAGATATTTTAAACTTGCATGCATACGCGCACTATAAAGCTGATTTTGAAAACAAAATAAAAAAACCTACATTCTTTAATAGGTTTTTTTCACTGCTCAATTTTTTAAAAACTTTCTTGCAGTTCCAAGGGCTTTTAGCATTGTTTATTTCAATTAATTTCAGAGATTTTGCTGCTACTACTCACTCTCCTGGGTGTCAGCAAACTAAGCCATGTCCTTTAGGGAAATATGAGCAGCCACAATGATTGGATTGTAAGGGCCACAGCTGCAGGGCCTAAAAGCTTATAAATCAGAACTAAAAGCCCAGGGCACTTGTCCACCACCGTAACTGCCTACATATCACTCTGGGGTTCAATGGGCCCAACCCTATCAATCACAGTCTTCAAACCCCAGAACAAAAATCACTTGTTTCGGGGTATCATTTCAACTAAGGCACGTCCAGTGAGTCAGAAAATTTGCTGACTTGAGCTACCTTTCTCGGTTGTCTAATTCCAGGTCCTTGCAATCTCTGGTCAGCTTGCCCTTCAATCTGCTGTACAATTCACAACCCAAAAGATGTTGTGAAACTTGAAAAGGATGCAGAAAAGATTTACAAGGATGTTGCCAGTGTTGGAGTGTCTGAGCTACAGGGAGAGGCTGAATAGGCTGGGGCCATTTTCCCTGGAGTGTCAGAGACTGAGTGGTGACATTATAGAGGTTTATTAAAAAAAAATCAAAAGGGGCATGGATAGGGTGAAAGCCAAGATCCTTTTCCCAGGGTAGGGGAGTCCAAAACTAGAGGGCATAGGTTTAGGGTGAGAGGGGCAAGATTTAAAAGGAACCTGAGGGGCAATGTTTCATGCAGAGGGTGGTCCGTGTATGGAATGAGCTGCCATAGAAAGTGGTGGGAGCAAGTACAATTACAACAAAATTTGAAAGGCAACTGGATGTGTATATGAACAGGAAGAGTTGAGGGATATGCTGGCAAATGGGATTAGTTTAATCTGGTCAGCATGGATAAATTGGACCAAAGGGTCTGTTTCTGTGCTGTATAACTCTATGACCCAGCAGCCTTTGAATTCTCTGTTGGAATATTTAACCAATAAATAGAGACAATTCATGGAAAATAAACTTTGACAACCATCAGCTGCTGTTTTGCAATAAAAACTGTTGCCTTCACGAGCCAGAATTTGTTATTCCAAATTTAATCTGGATGCCAAAATGCAAATTGGATGTGGAGACAGCGGAGAGGAGGAACAGAAATGTACATTCCCCTGCAGTTAATGATCAGTATTAACGAATTTACGTTGTGGTTCTTGTCCATTCTGCCTATTACATATGGAGTAATGCCTCACGTAGTATTCGGTGGTCCTGATGTTTTCTGTACTTCCTAATTGTGCCTGACCGTAAATACTAAAACCTACTTCATCTTTACCACAGTTATCCCATGAAATGTTGCTTTTTAAAAAACAAAATTTCCTGCTCCTCTACATCAAACAAAGAAAAACAGCCAAAAGGAATCACAACTGCTGTACCCATCTAGCTTGCCTGATTGTCTTCTCATTGTTAGGAAGCCACACAAAACATGTGTGATAAATCTTCACCATATTAACCATGGAGCCAGTTGACAGCTGCTAGCTGATCTATCATAGTTATCTGATTTTTAACCCAGCCATTTCATGTATTCATTCTGCTTGAACTGTCTATGCTACAGCATACAAAGTAGAAGTTCCCTTTGGAGGCTCACTCTAATTAGTCCTGCTCAGTGTCTGAATCTTTTTCCTTTCTTTCCATTATTTACACAGCTATGCATTGCCTTAAACCTTTCCATCTTCTATTACCCCAGTGTCCTTCATCTCGTGACAGCAAATTAATGCAGATGGCAACTAATTCATGGCAGCAACCGGCTATTCTTTTGCCTTTGTTGAAGCATCTATTTAAGACAAGGTTAAAATTAGGGTCAATCATTTGTTTGGCCACAAACGCCATTACAATACAAGCTGACAATTCTTAGAAAATTGATCAAAGTTTCAATGTAGTCAGAAAGTTGACAGTTCACATCCCACTCCATTCCATGACTTGCATATCCAGTTTCTCTTACAGTTTGTTAATGGGATGGGGCACTTCTGGCTATCCGTCTCTAATACCATCTTCACAAGGGAAGCTGAGTTTCCGTATTGAAACAGTTCCTGTATGCCCACAGTGCTGTTAGGGAGGGGGGGGTTTCGAGAATTGTGATCCTCTGACAGTGAAACAACAAACGTTAATAATTACAAGGCAGGGAGGAATGTGGATTGGAGGGAAGCTATCAGGTTGTGGTGATGCCCATGGAACTGCTACCTTTGTCTTTCTAGGTGATAGAAGTCACAGGCTTGCAGGTTAGAAACAGAAGGAGGCCATTCGGCCCTTAAAGCTTTCTCTGTTATTCATCACAATCATGGCTGATCGTCCAACTCAATAGGCTAATCCTGCTTTCTCTCCAGAACCTTTGATCTCATTCGTCCCAAGTGCTATATCTAGTCGCCTCTTGAATACATTCAATGTTTTGACATCAACTACTTCCTGTGATAATGAATTCCACAGGCTCAACACTCCTTAGGTGAAAAAATGTCTCATTTCCGTCCTAAATGGTCTACCCCGAATCCTCAGACTGCGACCCCTGTTTCTGGACACACCCACCATCGGGAATGTCCTCCCTGCATTTATGCTGTGTGAAGAGCTTTGGTGAGTTATTCCAAATGCTTCCATACATAATGCTGTCACTGTACAGCAGTGACAGAGAGACTCTGATTGTTGAAAAAGGTGCATGGGGGTTTTGGCTTGTTAGAAATGCTGTATTTTGGATGACACTTCTAAGCAAGAGCCCCCTCCCTCATAAGGACGTTGAGGATCCAATGGCTTTATTCAGGACTGTGTCCTGGCAAGTGTTTATCATCTAAACATCATTGGAATGATTGATTATTTTGTTTGTTGCTCCATGTCTGTACATTGTACTTTAAACATGCTTCATTTATTCTATGTGAACCAGAAGTTAAGAAACTATGGAAGGAAATATACAAATAGAAGCTTTTCTTCACTTTGTATTCAAATGACTTCATACAGCGACTACCAGGTACTTTTAGTAGTGAGTCGGGAAGGCACTGAATGATCAAGAGGAGCAGGAATCTCCCCAACACTCTGCCTCAAGTTCAGTAATAACACAGATCGCCCCACCAACAGCTCAGTGAATTTACCTTGTGAGCAATTGAGTAATGTAAATCGTAGAGGTCCAGTGCCCAGTGCTTGCTGAATTACTGAATGTTGGGATAGGTGTGCAAGAAATCATTTGATGCATCTCAAGGTCGAAAGGCAAAAAAATAGCACCAAGATAAAAATGCTTTAAAGCTACGCCGCAACGTCTGCCTGGAATGTACACGGAGAGAAATGCAGGGTCAGGCTCAGCTGTAATGTATTCCCTCCTCTTTGGCAAGGTTAAATAATCTGCCAGCACTCACTGTCAAGACTCAAATGACAAATGGCCACTTGAATAAAGTACCAAAATACATATGCACTCCAAAGAGAAGGGGGAAGAACAGCTTGGTTCCTGAGGACTTTTAAAAAAGGAAACAATGAAGGACATGGTACAGAACACAGGGCTTATTAGCTTATTAGATGGATCTTACAATAAAACCTAACTGACAGAGGAGTAACCTCCTGTACCAGCCTTGTGCTATAGTTGCCAATCATAATGCCATTGATCATGCTTGAAATTCACTTCTACCTTAAACTGTCTGCATATGGGATTTACAAGGATCTGATAAATAAACATTTGTTATTTTATTGAGTGGAACAAACTGAGAAGGGCCCCAAATAAAACTCAGAATTACTGATCATCAATTTACATCTTGGTGAACAATAACAGTGCTACTTCTTTCAAGAGAACCAGACTACAAAGCATGTGAATGGTCATTAAGACAAAATGGAATTGGGATTGGTGACAACACCCCCACAGTCCAGCTGGAATCACATACCACTATGTTTGCTTGTCTCATCAGAATGGCTGAGAGTGAAATATCACAGAATTGCTAGCATGCACAGCATCTTACCCCAGTATGAGAAAACAAGAAATTCAAGAATGGTGCAAAGAGGAACAAAAACAGATTGTCTGAACACTGCCGCTTCATCGGTTGACATGTTCCACTTCTGTCTTTTCTCTATGAAGTTCAATTAAGATCATAAAAAAGCAAACTAATTTTCATCCTGATTCTCATTCATTGAAGTACAATATTACCACATTTGGGAATGTTGCCATCAACAACCAGGTCTTCCAAGATAAACAGCACCATTGTTTGAACTAAAATTCGATATGATCTTCAAAGCAATTAGCAAATCTTGGATGCACCACAAGACTAGAATTTCATTTTGAATGTCTGATGTACAATAAGTGATATGGGGAAAGAATAGTCTCCCTGAGCTTTTACACCTGCAACTTTGGCACAATGTAGATCAGTTAATTTGCACTCATTAGTAACAGTCTGCTTTTCCAGATACAAATTCATTCATTATATATGCCGCAGCTGCTTTTGAACATGTTGCTTACCCAAGGAGATTTTTTGCTGCATAATCAGAAGTTTGAAAAATGTTACCTTTTACGAGTTCTAGACAGGAAAGCTTCCTGAGCCTCTTGATCAATCTTTGCTGTGAATAGAAAAAGACAGCAATTAATAACATGGTCAAAAAGTCAACTCTAAATACTTTCAGACTAGAAAAGTTAAAGAAATCTGATGTTATTTTTACTGATTTTAAAAATCAAATCAAAGTTAACTTTGACTCAAGTATGATCAATGAGAATGGTGCCCAAGAATCTCAGACAAATTCAACAAATGAAATTTAGGGGGAGGGGTTGTAGAACTAGGATCTCTTGTTCTGGATCGTGGACATTTTTTTTGAAGCTTAACCATTAAGCAATATAAGTACCAGGTGCAAAATATGAACATTACATCAGATTTTATAAACCTCTTCAGAAAGTCAGTGGAAAAACATTGCCTGGCTATTTGTTGAACAGGGAGATTAGAATAAATGTTCCTCTACACATTTTTTCCCAGAAAAATCAATTCCTTGCAATACAAGGAAAACAAAGCACAACTGGATTGTTTCAAACTTGGCTTGATTTGATACTGCCAAGGATTGCCAAGTTGTACTAATTTAGGTGCATTATCCTATCATTATTCCAACTGTGTGTCCCAAGTTCCACTTCAGACCGTATGACTTTCTTATTATTGAGGCCTTCAAAGCTCTAATTCAAAACAGTCCAGGACAGTCTCATACAGGCTTCAAGTAAGTGTAGAGTTCAAAATAGCCCAGAATTCAGAATCAATAGCTAATGGAATTCTGCGAAGACTGCTTGTATCCTTTGCAGATAATTCAGCCTCGAGTTTGGAACGATGACTGCTCAGCAATTGTAGAAGCAACTTGATTCTAATTCTTGTTTTATGCCTTTCCTGGTTGTTGAATAACCAATATTGACAGCATACAAAGAAAACAAAAAGAAAACTGCCCCATATTCCAACCTGTGTTTATTAGCAGAACTATATCAGATCACAACTGCTGCTACAGGACTGAAGTCTCTTGCTGATGGTTCTCCCATTATTTCACGGGGCAGGCAAAACAGAAAAAAGATCCCATCAACTTCAACACCATGGTGGGGACAAAACAACAAGTGTGGCCCGGTTCGAAAATAAATCATTGCTGCAACATAGCTCTGAAAGATGTGCTTTGGAATACTTGGGTATCCCGATGCATTGACTACACAGGATTTGCCCAGGGTGTTTAAACTTCAGCTGCATAATTAGCCCAAAGGTAGAACCCTCTGCATAACATTTCCTGGTTAACGATCCAGGTAAGTAAATACAAATAAAAACCTGCTTTAACACTTGGTTAAAGATAAAACAGACACACCCCACTATAATCTTTCTGTTGAACTACCACTTTCTTCATGATGCACCTGAATGGGTCACACGCTCTGACTCTATACCCCCATTGATATACTATCCTACCCTCTCACCCAATCCCCTGACACCTTACACATCTACCCAACAACGTCACTAACCTGCCACCCTACAGGCTCACCCAAATACCTGGCCCTACAAGCTTACCCATTTACCAAAAGCACTTTACCTTTTCTTGGCAGCTTGTCAAAGTTCCTCTGGGACCTTTAAAACCCACAACACAGCAGTTACTGTTGTAAAAAGTGTCTTTGGTTTGGCCTCCAAATACTGAACTGTGCTGAAAGGCTCCCAGATCCAGTACTCTCTCTGTTTCTCAAACGACCCAAAACAGAGATTCAGGCTAGAAACTGAGGACTATGGGACAGCCACCCAACTAGGAATCCTATTCCTCAGAAGATTTGGTCCAGAGTTGTTGCGTGTAGAATATATTAATATTGTCAACAAAGACAAGGAGCAATCATATTTGTCACGGAATAAGCAGAAAGATTGTGTTTAAAACTTCCATTTATCTTCCTTGCTGGGCAAGGGGAAAATTCCCTAGTTTCTAGGATCTCTGCATAATTGAAGTCTTTAATTCCAGATTACCATTCCAGTAAAGCTCTTCTGCAGCCCTAGGTCCTTCCTAAGGTATGGCTGTCATGACTGAACAAAATTTTAAACTGACTCTTAACCTGTGGTTCAGAGACAGTTAGGCAAACCTTCTGTATTCTTTTCATGATTAACCATGAGAAGGATGCCAAATATTTTTAAAACTATGGTTTCAATTTCTCCAGAACCCTTCAAAGACTTGTCCATGGAAATCTTCAGGTTTTTCCATGCCTGAATCAGACTTAAAATTGCACCAGTTTATATTCTCGCTTCTTTCCCTTACTGAACAAATCACTGCATAGTTTCCTTTGTTCATTGGGATGTGGGGCATCACTGGCTGAGCCAGCATATACTGCCCATCCTAGCTGCCCCTAAAAAAGTGGTGGTGAGCTGCTTGCCAATATCATTTGGTATAGGTGGATCCATAACACCACAAAGGAGTTCCAAGACTTTGACCCAGCGACACTAAAGGAATGCTGATATATTTCCAAATCAGAACAGTGACTGGATTCAAAGGGAACTTGCAAGTGACAGCATTCCCACCCATCTACTGCTCAAGTCTTTCTAGATGGTAGTGGTCATGAATGAGAAAGTGGCACTCTTGTAATGTCACTGAATTGGTAACCAATGAGGAAGTTAGACTGCTAACTGCAAAACAGAATGAAAGGATAAATTACATTATCCATCTGCACTCATCCAGACATGAGGGTGGGTGTGGAATTCCACTACACTCCTGACTTGAGCCTTGTAGATGATGGACAGCTGGTGAGATGTGTCCAAGACGGAGACAGTAGAAAAATCCAAGCCCTTTTGAGAAGTAGGATATAAGGAATGGTGATATTGGGGAACTTCAGTTAGCTAAACAGAAACATATCAGATAATAGTTACAAACCCAGAGGACCACTTGGCTCCTCATGTCGGAGTTGACTCTTCAAAAGGAACAATTCACTTTGTGCCAGTCTCCTACCTTTCTCCATAGCCCTTCGTACTCCTTTATCAGATAATAATTCAGTTTCCATTTCGATACCTCGATTGAGCCTGCCTTCACTGCACACGCAGGATCTTAACCCCTTGCTGGGTAAAATTATTATTTCTCACGTTGACACTGTTTCTTTTGTAAATACCTTAAAACTGTGCCCTTTTGTCCTGGATTTTTCCATATCAACACCATCCAAACCTTTTATAGCCCTCAACCTTCATTTATGGAAAACAGCTCTAACTTCTCAGGAACAAAAACAAAGTTGCTGGAAAAGCTCAGCAGGGCTGGCAGCACCTGTGAAGAAAAAAAA